TATACTAACCGCTACACTCGACTTCATACAACAATCTGTAGAGACTTCGGTAGTCATGGAAGCAACAGAAAGCGAGTCGCGACTGCTGGCTGGAGTGACAAGGCTACCCTCTGAAAATTGTTCAAGACGTTTTTATGCTGAATTTGTTTTGCTTATGGCTGGAGAACTAACTGTAAAGACGCTGATCCTGACTGATTGAGCGGGATGGTAATGAGATCCCTGATGATCGACGTGAGTCACAGCTTGAAACATCGAGACGGTCACCCTGCAAGAAGAACACAGTGAGCTCGCCTTATAGGCAAAGGGTGTCAGGATATGCTGAGTTTAAAGGAAGTGGACACAATCGATGGGGGTATCGCCAGCGCCATTGGTTGAGAGTAGGGAGCAGCCAGGCCGCACTCCCAAAGCCTTTCCACGGCGCTGTTTATCGACGGGGGGGGCATTTTGTATTATAATTGCTTCCCTGGTTCCGGTTTACAAATCTCACTCTGGTAAAACTTGTGAAGCTTGTGAAGCTGGAGCAAGATCGTCTAGCCACCATCCTAAAACGTGTCAACTCGAAAAAAGGGTACCTAGATGGGTTGGCAAATCTATGAAAAGCAGAATGCCCCCCGTCGATAAACAGCGCCGCTTTCCCCAATGACGGCGACAACCGTCCGCCTCTAGCAGTCATGCCCACTGTCTTTAGAGGCAGGTTAGCGGCGATGTTTCAGTGCAGCACTTCATACAGGATGTGACGTGGGGGAAGTTACAATTTGCTTTTCATCATAATTTGCACGGCCGCGCATGGAGAAGTGTGTGAACGATCCAGATAAAATCTTTCCGGAGATGTCAGTTTATAAGCATGACGGTTCACTGCTTCCACTGCTCAAGACAGTCATCATCACCGTTAAACTAAAGGACTGCTGCTTAAATAAGGTTCACGACTTCAGAAACCAGTCGAGCATCCTGGCGTGCCACTCACGTCGGTTTGACGGATTCTGAAGATATGGTGAAATAGTAGCTTGATGTCGCTATCCGGGTTGATGGTCCACGGTGCTTATTTAGCTGCCTTCCTTGAGAACTAAGAGCAAGCAAAGCGTCTTCTTTGCTGCTCCCTGATACTGGGCGGGGCAAAGGAGACGTCTGCTGGATTTTTATCGATCCTCCCTTGAGCAGAGATAATGGGGTTTATATTGGGTCATTATAAAAGCCTTGGGTGCAGCTCCTTAATATTTCTGTCTTAAGTGGCGGAGGAATTGGCACGCAGAGAGCACTCGTGTGTATCACTGAAATCCCGAGATGCGGTAGGCGTGGCCGCATGACTTGAGGTGAAGCGGAGCAGGAATAGGGCACCGCCTGAGCTTTTCGCCTTTTCGTGAGATATTTTGATTTTGGGACAGATGCAATCATGTCTTTGTCCAACACAGAACAAGATTACAGTTGTCTCAAATTCGAATATCCCACGAGTAACCCACGCTATGCCATGTTCAAATGCCCCGCCTACTCCGTCCAAGAGAGTGTACTTGTCTAATTTATGTGTCTTCAGAATCCGCCAATCCCTCACTGTTACGGTTTGAAACCGTTCACCTTCACACCACGCTGAGGCCACTGGTAGGATTTGTGAGGACAATGCCAGTCTCCCTCAAAATATTGCAATCCGATCGGTAAGTTGACGAAATGTCTAAGTTGGTCAACCCAGGCCACTCGACTTTCGCAATCATGCTGTCCTTTCTAATGCGTTTCTGATCCCTGCCAGGCGATGGCTTGAACTTCCCATCTCAAGCTGGTTTTCCATCCAGAACACACCAACTCATCCATTTTTTTGTCTCAAATTGCTGCCGCAGGCGTTAGCATCGCCGTGCTTGGCTTCGAAGCAAGGAGCATAAGTGGGTTTAGGTGTTGCTCGGAGTTGTTGGATAATTTGCGTTGTTTCCACAAATTTGTAAGGGGCGTTGCCACCCTAGACTTACTCTGGAACTGCTTACTGAAGGGGTGGTGCCTTGGGAACGAAACCGTGCACGGCGAAGAGCATGGTCGTCTACCATCGTTTTTGAACCACCGGATGGAGGCGCTGTTGGGACTTCATAGGCGGAAGCAGTCGACATCTTCTTCACAGGAACTGGTCTCGCCGCACTTGGAGCTGGTTTACCGCCGTGCCACATGTTCGTCTCCGATACGGACTGAAAAAAAAGCGAATTAAACAAGCGAGTTTGCACCATCACACCAAAATGTACCGTATATATGGCGTTAATGACATCCTTTTCAGGAGACACATTGTGCGCTACGCACTTCACTTCTATGGTACTTACCTTAGCAAATCTCTAATTCGAAAGCGGCGATTCTTATATGACCCATGACTGCCAGAAGTTTTCGGATGCCGTCTATTTTCTTTTTTTTTGTGAAAGATACAAATATAAGTGTGCTCCTTACCGACGGTATGTTTGGCCTCATTTCAGGGCTCACGTCTCTAGTCGTTCGCGATCTGCCGGTCCGATGATCCTGTGATGATCGGGGCTGTGGCAGTTGGTGGTGGTTATGAAGCCCTTGGCCAGCAGAATGAGCTGAAAACCTATCATTAAAAGGTCTAAGCACAAAGGCGTCACAACGCAGAGCTAATGCTCTCATCCTCTCATAAATGGGAGGGCTATGCATCATTCGAACAGCGAAAAAACGAAAAGCATTTGCTCAAATGAAAAAAGAAAGATGTTGTATAGTGCTCAAATCCAGTGAACGATTTAAGAACCAGTTCCTAACGAACAGCGTATTGCTTCATTCGAGCAAATAACCTGCACAACAAGAACTTTCCATGTGACGTGTCGTCACGTTACCGACAGGTTTACACATCTTACTATTTTTGGCCTTGTCCTGCAATCCTC